AAATGCATGTATGAGTTTTTTCTAGATCTTACTTGGACATTAGTCCTTTAATCCTGAAAATGTTCTTCAGGTAGTAAAAGGCTGAATTAGTATCTGCCTTTATGGGTCTCTGAAGGTTCAGGTCTGAGTCCATCATGACGCCAAGATTTTGGCCATAATCAGTGGTTTCTAGTTTTAGTAGCTGAAGCTGTGAGCTAACTCTGGATCTCTCCTTCTGTGGTCCGAAGATTATTACCTCAGTTTTGTTTTTATTCAGTTGTAGAAAATTATGGTGCATCCACATATTGATCTATTCTAAGCATCTAGTCAACCCTCTGATGGGTTCATAGGCACCTGGTGACATTGGGATGTAAAGCTGTTTTTGTTGTCTGCATAGCTATCATAGCTGATGTTGTATAATTTGAGCTAAGGGGTGTATGATGTTGAATAGCAGGGGCCCCTGAACGGAGCCTTGAGGAACCCCAAATGTAATTTTTTTTCTGCTCTCTGATTTAAAGTTCCCTGCTGACATATCAAAGTCCCTGCCCTTCAGGTAGGATTTAAACCAGTCTAGTGCTGTGCCAGAAAGGCCAATCCAGTTTTCCAGACGCTCCGATAAAATCAAGTAAGCACTGAGGTGTGAATTTATACAGGTGCCATTTAACATCTTATTCTGGTTGTTTTTAAGAGGTCACTTAACTGTTGAAACACAACTGCCCAACAATAACATTTGTTCTGCTCTATTTTTTTTTTAAGAGAGCAATTTTTCTTTTAAATCATTTGATCACGTATGGAAAAAAAATTATTAGGATATTATTGTTTCCTTTATTTTTCTCATCCAATTCAATCTTTATGCCAACTTTTCTTTAGTTTTAACCAAAGACACCGTCTTCACCATCTTCCTGTGCTCTTTTCTAAAATTACTGATTTAATTTCTCATTTACTCACTGCAGCTATCATTTTGACAACTTAGGGGCGCCATTTGTAGTTTTTTTCTTTAATTCTGCAGTTCCTTCTTATAATTTTAAATTGTTTTTTTTGAGACAGTTAAATTAGATAAGCTTTTTATGACTTTTTCTGCCCATTTTGGGATGTGCTAAGGTATCATGTTTTCATTTTCCAGTCATGTTTTCATTTTTATTATAGATCTACAGATCGCAAGACAAAATGGTTACTTATAATGCCAGTGGTTGGTGTCTCTATGTTGCATTACTATTCCATTATTTTTAATCATACATATCCACTATGTTGTTAACTTCCCTCTTACAGCGTTAGGCTTGGCTCTCAAGTTTTCTGAGATTTTGACTTAATTGAGATTCAATTCTGACTTGGACAAACTTTAACTGTTATACTATGTTGTCTACTACTAAGGCACCAGATTAAATTCCCATATTTGCATGTTGTGTTCTATTTTCAGGTGCAAATGGATTATCAGGATAAGTGGCCAGGATATTCACTGTGTTCACAGGAATCTACGTCATCTCTATCACTCTCCTGGCTGTAGCGGCTGGTAACTTTGTCACAGGGAGCAGTTTTGAAAACAGTCATATAATGTATTGCATTATTTATTTTAAAATCCTGCCTGGTACTCTGTGTTGCAGAAGTAATTCTGATTCTTTTATTTCAGCCTTGCAAGGAATTTTCAGTTCTGGTGATGATATTGAAGGCCGGCGATTTTCTATTCCTGTTATCCTCCAGGATCTGATTAGGTGAGAGAAAAAGTGTTAAACCAGAACTAATGCTGGTTGTTTCTAGCTGCATATTTGGCTTTGAGGGGAGTCATCTCATCAAGTGAGTCCAGTCTTAACATGATGACTTGATGCGATGACTGGAGTCTGGTGTGCTATTGCTTGATTAGAAAGAAAACCTGCAGCCAGACGGCCCTTTGTGGAACCAGTTTGACACCCCTGCTTTACATCATTCAGTGTGGCAGCACATTGCGTCCTGAGCGATGGGTTGAATTCAAATCATACTTTTACCACTTTTGAACTCTAAAGATATATTTCTTTCTCTTAACAGCTTTTTCAGATTGATAAAATCATTTTCAAAGATTTGATAGAACTCAACCAGCAAGAATAAGTTACAAGTTCTGCTCATCTTAAACTAAAAAAATAACTAAGAATATGCCTGGCTCTGCTATAAACAAAAACACAAGTAAATGATAGGGGTGTTTGATAGTTATAAAGCTCATAAAAAGCTTTTTTAAATTTGTTTATTATCTTGTGTTTGATGCAATTGGCTTCTAGAGATTTAAACGGTTAAATATGTCTGAATGAAAAGAACCACTTAATAAACCATTTCAAATTTATTTCAGAATTGAAAGTGCTTACTTCAACAGATTTTTTTCAGTTGGGTAAAGTCAGGTATTACACCAATAAAAAAGAAAACTTAAAAACACAGTTTCTTCCGAAAGGGTTTCTGTAAAAAATATAATAAACACAGTTTTTTAACAAGATGCGTGGTGTTGCATAATTAATGCAGAAAATCAACATTTACAGTAACAGGATTTCTTTCAAAAACAACAGGTTGTTTATTTATGCTAAATTCCATTAATGAAAAAAAAACATTTTTAGGCATCCACAAAGGAAAGAAAATGACAAGGTTAAAGAAACATTATTTTAACACAGAGTTTAGAATGTGAGACAGAAATTAAAGATGGTATTAAATTATACGCACAGCTCAGAGTACCTGCAAAATGAATATTCTACAATGCTACACTCTTTTTAACTAAAAGAAAAGAAAAAAATAATTAAAACATTGCTGCAAGAGACCATGTGTTATGGCATGGAAGAACGTTCTGAAGCAAAGACCAAGTGCTGCATTCAGAGTAATATAAATGCAAAAATTGAACCTGCTGACTACTTTATTCTCAAAATCAACTTCTTTACCAGATACATTCCAAACTCCAACCATTGTACTTTCCACCTACTTACATCGCTGGGTAAGAACACATCTCTAACCTTTCACATGACAATTCCGTTTAGCAACCAAGCAAGTAAGAAAAAAAACCTTTCCTGAAAAATGTAATTTATCCAAAGCTTCTTTTAGGTGATGTACAGGTAGTACTGAGGATTTTAACAATGATTTATTTCTGTTGTATGATGATGATTATCACTTACACCAGAAAATTAATTCCACTGTAAAGTATGTCCACGTACAGTTCAGTATATGCACTAATTTGGTGGGACCTATTGCATGAATTACTACATCGAAGCATTGAGGCCGTCACGCTGAGGCATTCAGAAAGCCCAGGTTGCTTTCTGCATTCGGCTCATCTGCATTTCTGGGTGTGGTGTTTTCTTCTTAAAGGCACACTTTGTGACCTAAACAGTTGATGGATATGAATTATTTTAAATGGTTCCTCAGGCCAATATACAGCGCTTAACAATATCAATGCTACAATTGGGGCTCCCCTCTTGAAAAACCTGCTGTGCAAACTGGGAGAAGACACACTGTTGTTGGCCAGATCATGTGACCTGGAAGAACGTATCACTTTACGGCCACAGGTTCTTATGTAGTAATGGAGCTATTGTTTTTGCTCTACCATGTTTCCTGCTCAGCTACAGGTTATGGCTGAGGCAAGGAAAAAGTTGAAACCTTCTGAAAACGGGAAAGGGATCATGCCTGAGGAAAAAAAAGAGTCGATCATGGAAAGGATTAATTCGTTGCCGCAGGGTGAAAGAATAAGCCAGATGTAAAACCAATTATCTTTTGTCAACTATTAACACTTAACAACCTAGTATACAGTCATTTATCTTTGTTATTTTTTTTCTATGTTTAGTAGAGGAGAAAATATGGGCAGTTACAGGTCTAGTGCCCCTAGTGGCCAAATGTTACATGGTGTGCCTTTAAGATGCCACCTTTTAAAACAAAAACTGCACCTGATTTGGTTTAGAGTTATGCAGAGCCTTAAGCTTTACAAAAGAATCGCTGAGTTTTAATTCATGTCCTGAAGCTTTTAGTGGATGGATCTTATTAAAGTCTCTATTTCTACCACAATCCACAATGGCAGGACAATGAATGAATGAATGAATCCTTGTTAATCCCAAGTTTTTCCTTCCACTCAACTTTCCATCAATTAAGTTGGAAATGGAGAACTGTTAAAACAACCAGGTTCTCTGAGGTTTGCCACTCCTTGTAGGGACTTGTCCTTGTCACTCATTTAGTCTATATTAATGAAAGGTTGAGTGGAAAAAGGACCTATGGTAGATTTACGAGTGAGGGTACATGAACATACTTTTCAGCAGCCTGGTGTTTCTGTTTTTAGAAATCCGTTTACTCTTATTGATCTTGCTCTATGTAATAATGTTATTTTAGCTGTAAGACATGAGAATCCAACTCAACAGTAATAAACAATTGATATGTTTCTTTCAAAATTTAAATGAATCTTTTGAAGGATTCACATTTTTAAAAGCTGAAATGAACTTGTTCATGTTATTCATTGACATTAAGTGCCCTATATTAGGAAATTGTCACCTTTATAAACAGTTTAAACTATTTCTATAAATTAAGCACCTCTAAAATAGTTTTGATTTCATCCTCTAGGTTGCAATAATGTTCCATTCATCCACGTTGCACCTTCTTTTAATTATTTCCTAAAGATAATTTGAGTCGACCACTCTATCAAACCCTTACATTTACACTTCCTGTATCCCTCTTACTCTGTTCTTCCTCTGTTCTGAATAATCAAGCCTCTCAAGTCATCTTTCCAACACAAAGTTATATTTATTAATAAACAAAACCAGCTGTTGACGTCTACTAATAGTTTTCTTTCAATGGATTTATTCTTTCATGCCATAAATCCTTGGTATCTTGCATAATGACATTAAAAAAACTTCCAACGTTGGTACTAATTACAAGAAGTAAACTTTTAATGATTGCCAAATTGAATCGTAGAAGTATGTTTAAAAAAGAAAAACACGGCAAAAAATGTGGCATGTTTTCCTTTGTTGCTCATCTGCAACAGCAGGCTGTTGCATCTTGATTTTTGTCAGAAGTTTTCTTGTCATGAAGTAGAAATCATGCCTAAATTCTCTCAGCAGCTTTTCTTTTTTTCTTTTTTTTTTTATCTCAACATGTTCACACTTTCCATTGTGTTTGCACAGTGATAAAACATCATTCATAAAAACAACAATGACACAGAAAAAGACCAAATTGGGCACAAAACTATTCAACTTTACAGAAAATATCAACTATATATTTGTAGTCATCTAAATAAAGACGCTACAATATCTTTTCATTGATGCTACGACACATTAATCTCATTAGCAACTTTTTTTCTCCATAGATCTATATACAGATATGACATGTCCACCTGCCTCAGAAAAAGGGTCGGTGTACATGAGGAAAGTATCTGCAACTATGTGAAGATACTTCTTGTGCAAATGCTATGCATTAGATTGAAACCCCACAGATCAGTGGTCATGCCTGCTTTTGTTCACATAAAACCCGTATGTAATCTTATTTATTTTTTGGGATTTGTGCAACAAAATCAACGGATATACAGCCCGTCTCTAAAGAAATGATTAAACATATTTATATTTCAGTCTGCCAAAAGTACAAATACACAACATGAACCATAAGGGGCAGACATCCTAATTATTTTTGCTTTCATACAAGTCGAATCTTTTCGTCTCACTCCATTGGTTTGTTCCAAACCTGTGCATTGCAAGACGTCACATTTTAATACTGTGCAAAACTAACAGACGGATGTGGATACAGGCACACTGAACTTTAAACATGTTGCAGACAGGCAGGCTCCCAGTGTGTCATTTAAAACAGGTGCATTAAGGGAAAACTACAACAAATCATGACAAGCACAAATTGCACAAGGAAAGGAAAAATCTTTACATTAGTTTGAGGTAAAGAGCAAAGAAAGTGTCTTATCTAGCTGGTGCTAACATTGTTGAAGTAAAACTGGTTTCTAAACAGTACCCAGCCTAACATATTATATGCTTTATAACTAGATCATGCAACTTATAACATTTTTGTTTTTTCACAACCAGAAAAGCTAAAATCTGTCCGACTCACTTCACGGCAGGTAACAGTCTAACAGAACTGACAACATCGAGTGACAGTACGTAAAGACAATCAAGCACGTGTTAAGAGAGAAGTGCAATAAAAGTGACGCTTCATGGTAGAGATCAACAAATATTATGTACGCCAAAGTATTTATCTTAATTTCAAGAGAGAACTGAACTAGCCATTCAATTTTCCCTCTTCACAAACAGATTAAAACGATTAACTGTAATCCACAAGTGATGTGTCATCTCCACTCAGACTGCACAATCCAAAGCCTCTGGATTGGAGATCAGTTTCCCCCAGAGTTAAATAATCCTGGATAGGTCTAAAATGTAAACAATTCTTTTATTATAATCCCAATAATAATAATAATAATAATAATAACAGAAAATAAGCTTGGAAATTTTAAACTAACAATCTCCTTACTTAGACACAGTGTTTAAAACTTGAGTTTTACCTCAAACTGAGGTAGTACTACTTTAAAGCTTTAGGAGGTAATGTTTGCTCTGTACTGTGTCTTACATCACAATGCTACTGAATTATCATGAACGTTTTAGGTTACTAATATTTATTAAAGGACCGTAACGGATAGCTAACAAACACTTCATCTGGCTTGAATCCCTTCCAGTATGCTGATCTGAAAAACTATTTTAACCTATCCACTGGTACCGATGGTTAACATGTTTAAAAAGCAGAGATGCACCAGTCAGAAGTCAAGGTAATTCAGTTTTCCCTCCTTCAACTCTTAAAGATGAAAGAAGAAACATTTAAAGAAAACCTCAAAATATTTTCAAATCTTTTTCATTGATTGCAATAAAAATTAAGAGATTACCATTTTTTGGTCCATACAGATATAAACTAAACAATCTTTTCCGTTGCATTAAAAGATGTTTTAGAAAAATAATTTGCATCAGCAAATCAGAGCTTTGTAAAAATCAAAAATTGTATCAGCCGTTAAAAAAGGTTGATTTTTCTCAAATAATGGAAAACTTTTTTTTTTATTCAATGCATAATTTCACCAAAAAAATGTGTGGAACAAACTATTCATATATTTTTGTTAGCATATTCATCCAATGACAGGAAACATTGCTGCTAAATGTGTTGTCACCTTTTAAAAGCTCATACAAAATAATGCAAATAAAGATATTTTTCAGCTTTTATGTCTTTTGAATCTTTTCAATTAGACTTTTGTTGAATATTAACATTGTATTAGAGGAAATGGCAACAACTTGACAGGTTTAGGTGTTCAGGTAGCGCAAATCTGTGTTGATCTTTACAAAAAAACTAGGGTTTTGGTAATTAAAGTAAAGATGATCTGTGCTAAAACAGCGATTCTATCAGGTTCACTAACAGTAATTATACTCACATTTAGTGAAACAACTGCTCTTCAAAACAAAGTAGTATTTAATGGTGGGTTTCAGATGCCTGTAGCTGGTGTTTCGCTTCATGGTCAGAATACCGGTAATTAAAAATGGCAGCTGCCCTAAAACAAGTTATGATCCCTAAAATAAACCTAAAAGTATCCAAATTAAAAGTAAAATTGTTCGGCAGACTATTAAAAACTTTGATTGCAATTTCTAAAATAAATGCAGGAAAGCCACCATATTGCTTTCAATTCTCCTCTGCACAGAAAGCTTACTTGCTTGCAATGGTACTTTGACTCATCCACATTTTATGTATGTTTCTGTTATTATGTTATAATAGTACAGCCTCTAATAGAGGCTTATTTTTATGTTTATATGGATCTGTGCTGAGGTTTCTTTAAAATCTTCCATTACATCTAAATCGAGGTTATTGCTTCTTTTTAATGATCGCTATGAATTTTTAAAATTATATATTTAATCGGAAACAACCTACTGATTTCATCAGACAAAAAGTCTGTACTATGAATATCATAGCTGGAGCGAAACTCTTTAAGGCACCATTTTCACAAATTCTTAACAATCTTTAAACCAACAGTTTTAGTCTTGTAAAATGTTAGCGATAAAGAGTTTTTATACTGTAAATATGTAAAAATCTTCTGTCCAAATCCTTAGAAAAGAAATATAAAGTTATTTTTTATATTAATCTAAACCAGAATTATTTAAAGAAATAAATCTCTGTTAGATCTTCACGCTGTCTTATATTTCTGCCTAATTTCAAATAAGACATAATAAAGAGGAATCTATTTTATTTATGTTCAATAACACGAGGGTTAACTATCAAAGAAAATTTAGGAACTAAGCAGCAGAAATAGTAAACGAGTAATAGTAACTTTTTCTTCAGACAGCTTTAACTGGATACCTCTTCATCTGAAAGGCCTAACTTTACTGTGGGAAACATCAGTTACACACTTTTAGGATTGCAGACTAAGTCTGGGACCTAATCAGAGTAGAAGTTTCTTTGGTTAAAATCCTAATAAAACCCAACCGCTGTTCTTTGTAGTAGTTTTAGTGAAAAACCAATCAGAGTAAGTTCTTCTAGCTGTGAATCTCTAACGGGGACTTTGTTCAAGCTTGGTAACTGTGTCCTCTGTGCTATGCTGTGAAACTTTGGGAATCATGGTGGTGTGCTGGTGTGTCTCAGCTGGACTGCTCACTGAAAGCGGGCCAGGCCAGGGTTACATTCAGCTGCTGGTTGTGTTGGATCAGTGATGTGTGACGGTAGTGGAGGACGAGCTCCCTCAGCGATGAGTACAGGTTGTAGGGCTCAGCGAAGCCATATCCTGTAGACGTCCTGTAGATCACACAGTGTTTGACGTCGCCATCCACTCTGCACAAAGGATCACATGTCACTCTATGTTTTCAGGTAGGTTTTAAACAAAATATGCTTGTTACATATTTTCTGACATGATGTATAAACAATTGAACTTCAAATGCACTTTGCAGAAATAAATTAAAACTAAGACTGCTACTATTTCCTGATTGCCTTATCTTTGAAACTAGATGCACATACTCTTAAATGTTTTTTTTTTTTTTTTTTAGAGAAATCTGACCAAATTCTGAATTCTACTGCAATGAAGTTAGTTTTAGGTAGGATATTTGATCTCTGTGGTACTTGCACATGCTGGCCATTTGTTTTTGGTTTCAGAAATAGGAAATCCAATATTGGAAAACTGTTTTCTTATTTCCAAATAAAAAAAAATGCCAGTTTTGTGTTGTTTAATTTTCAAATATTTATTATTTTTAACAAATTTAAAACAATTTTTAGTTAATTTTTAGATGTAAATAACATTTTGGCTCATTAGTGCGGGTAGCTTGCTAACTTGAATGAGCGCATGGCTGGGGAGTAAACTGAGCCCGTGTTCTGTCAGTTGAGCATACCCCGTCAGACCAGCATACCCACAGTCAATACCCATTTATCCCTTAAGTTTTGTATGAAAAACACACTTTAAACTACCTCATGTACAAAAAAACCTATTAAATGATTTATTTGTTTTTGTTTTTTGAATCATATGGCGATCTGACCCTAAATTGTTTTTGTACATGACTGAAGGGATACACGCCTGTCGAGGTAGCTTATGGTATATTTTTCATACAAAACTAAAGGGATAAGCAGAACTAGCATCTGCGTAAGCAAATCTTAGTCTTGCGCATGCTTATTGACTATGGGTATGCTGATCTAATGGGGTATGCTGATCTGACAGAACACTTGCACTGTTTGAGAGTAGTTCATCAAGCTGACTAAATGAGCTTAAAGTAGGGCATAATTGATCTGATTAAAACTAATTTGAGTAAAGTAAAATGATTGATAAGTATGATTGGTTGCCTGTATTTGAGAAAATTTGCTATAGATTTTATAGTGAAAGTGATCTGAAATAGATGCTGAGGATATGATTTATTGTTTATATTTTGGTGCAGATGTTCAAAATGTCACCGTGTGCTCTTGGTCATTCACAGAATGAAGCTGATATATGGGTGTGGCAAACTCTGATGTCAAAAGAAACATTTTTGCTTTTTGCGGAGTAAAATAAAGCCGTCTTTCAAATTAAATGTGTAGTTTAGGACAGCTTAATTCTGTACCACGCTACATAAGCTAAGAAAACCAACAGAAGAATGCTGCAGTTTTGTGTTTTGGCAACCGGTGGCAGTATCATCAGAAGCTCTGTAATGCATTTTTGTAGCAGAGGTGGATAATCCAGGTTTAGAAAGTAAAAAGACTGTACAGAGATTTGCATTTCCAGTTCCACAACACAGGCTTATTAATAAAACACAATAATGGAAAATTAGCCATATTTTATAAAAGGTAACACAAATGCTCTGGTTTAATTTTTGACACTTTTTATAATAGGTGATATGAAGATACTCACACAACAGAGCAAGCAAAGGAACCTCTCTGAGTCTGGCTGTCTCTGATTAAGAACGTCCCATCTCGCCTTCCCTTCAGCAGCTCCTCTGCCTCTTTTCGTCTCATACCTCCGACGTACCAACTCCTCTCCTCCTGGTGGCTGTCATCTTCAAGTGTGTATGGGCTTACATAAAGACAGATAAAATTAGCTAAAAGGAAAAAGATTCCTGCTAAATTCAAGAAATCTAATGGAAAACTTAGCAAATCCTCATCTCATTGCTTGTCTATGGTATGATGTTATGTAATCAATGGAGGTTTTAGAGCTAAGAACTTTTATCCGTATCAAAAATGACACTTACTCCTCTTCATCAGCTGCTTCACCCAGCCAGTTGTTAATATGACTCTGCCTCATTCCTTGTTGGGTCAGCCACCTGGACAATTTTCAAAACAAGGTTAGAAATCTAAAGAATGTGGAGCTTTGCATTTAGTCTACTGTATGAATGTTTTTCTGAGCTTTTCGTTTTAGTAATGGGGAAATACTTATTTGCAATATACTTCTGGCCAGATTTATTTTTAAAATGTATAGTTTTCAACTACTTTATTACTAATAGAGAAAATATGCTACAACACTTTGCTAGAAGTAATTCAACTCTGAGTTTAGTATGACCTGCCTATGTGTTACTGAAACTTACAGGAGGTACTGATCTCTGATTTTCCTGAGCTGCACAAGATCAGGCTTCAGCCTCGCTATTTTTCTGTCCACCTCCATGTGAGCTAGAGCTTTTGTCCTTAGTTCTTCTTCCAGCATCTTCTTGCTGTTGTGGATCTCCTCCACCTTGGATTGCAGTTCATCTGAGTTGTTTTGAATTCTGCAGATAAAAAGAAAATACAAGGAAGTACATATATGGACACGAACCGCTGTTGATGGGACTGGGTTTGAAAGATAATTAATATGGAAACTCACTTTTCATTTTTTGTGCCACTGTCTAAGGTGAGGAACATGTCAATGTATTCCTTGCTGTAACGTTCCTGAGTTTCACACTCCTCTTCAAATATCCGAATGATTTCACTGAAAGCCTCAATTGCTGTTCTCTTACTCTGAAGCTCCTATAAAAGAGAGAAATAAGGGTTTAAAATCCCAATTTTCTGCGCAAGAGTGTCATGGTCCTCAAAAATCAAGGTTCGGTACATATCCCATCTTTAAAGTCAGGGTTTAGAACAATTCAGTATAATGTCTTTGTTTTATTTGGTCAACAGTAAATCAAGACTAATTGTTATTGTGTTATGTTCTAAGGCTTAAAAAGTGTAAAGTATAGAACCAACTGAAGATTTGGTTGTTTTCTTTTGTCTACTTTTAAGGGTAGGCTTAAAACTTTCCTTTTTGATAAAGCTTATAGTTAGAGTAGCTCAGGTTATCCTGGGCTATCTCTATAGTTATACTGCTATAGGCTTAGACTGCTGGAGGACATACAGTAGGGACCTCTACCTGCATCATTTTGCTTAATTCAATCTCTATTCTTCCACTTTGAAGAATCTGTTAGTTCAATCTGTATCGTTATGCTCTATCTGCTTTTTCTCACAGTAACTTCACCTCGTCTGTTCCTGTTTGGCTGTGACACCATCCTGGAGAGAAATATCAGCTCTGCTTTTGCCATTTGATACATGTAGAACTGAGTTAAGTTCTACGTTAACAATTTGGGATGGCTGCCGTTCAGTTTGTCCGTGAAAAAGAGGGGCGTTTAGTACAATACTTCGAGCTGATTGGGGGACCTGGCAGCAAGTATCTGCCTTCCATAATACACTTTCAGCCAATCGTAGCAGCGAATCGAGACGTTGCATAAGTTGATAAATCAAACTTTTTCCAAATCCAGTCGGAAAAAAAGCACAGACATCTTTCCTATCAACAAATGCACATAGTGCTTCTCTTTGTTCCTTCTTTAAACAAGAAATTGTCGCTATTCTAGCTAAGACTGAGTCAATTGTGGCATCGACTTGTGAGTCCTCCTGCTTAGCCATGTTTGTAATGCCCGGGCTAGGCCCTTCTCACTGTCATCATTCCTGCATGCCCCGCCCCAAAAAACACTTCTGGTATGTCATTGGTCCGCCTCACTGGTTGTTTGGAGATGGAGTATTAGTGGGGGTCTTTCAAGATGGATTTGTTGTGAGACTGAAAACTCAGATCCCGTTATAATCCAGCTTGCAGCGCAAGTATACGTCACGCCAGCTGTCAATCAATCCTGGAGGCTTGCAGTTGGCATCCGGTCAGTAATCCCTCAGCCACAGCCAAGTAGATACCTCTATCTCTATCTCCTTTTTGTTGTTGAAAATTTGTACACTGATATTAAACGATCGCTGGTCAATTAAAACCATAATGCTCCCATATTGCAAAGTAAAGTCGTACCTATGTTCTCATTGTGTCATTTTTCAAAGGTGTGCTAAAGTATGTTGTGATGCACATTAAGTCATGACGCTGTGTTCAATCAGTACACCTTTATACCAAAGAAACTGGGCTGTACAATACAGCAGTGATGCTGTGGTGAACTGTGAATTTGTATAAATGTTGTTGTGTTGTACCTGTGAGGTTTGGTTCAGCTCCTTAAATAGGTGGTCATACTCTTGGCTCTTCTCCTTGTATTGATCCTGAAATATCCTCAGCTGCTCCCCAATTGCAGCGATGTCAATCTCCATCACATGCTGCTGTACATAGAAGAATGTAAAATCTTGCAGGAGTGTTTTGGTTGGTTTTATTTTAAATTGATTGATATTTTTTCAGACCAGTAATTATAATTGACAATCAGTAAAATCAGTAAAAGTCAACACCTACCTGATAGTATCTGGAAACTGGGTAAAGTAACCTTATGTCAAGTTTAGAGTTGTACTGAGCTAGTGACCTCTTCCGGTAGAACTGGATCAGGTCTACCACCGACGGAAAGGTCAGTGGCTCAGAAAAACCACATTTTCCTTCATGATGAAAGATTCTTATCAACCGGTTGTACCCATCTTTTCTGTAAAGGTGCAAAAAATAAACATTCATGTCAATTTTTAAATTTTTGGATTTAAAAAAAAAATAAGGCTGGGGACTAAAGCAATACCAATATGTATTACAACAGACACCATGTCAATATTAATAGAAAATACATCTAATGAAGTTTCCTATGATTCACTGAAAGCTGATCAAGAACCACACAGCATTTTTAAGAGAAAAAAAAATGGATTGGTAAAAAAAAAAGTCATCTCTAATTTTGCATATGAGAGACTTATTGTTATAAATTTTCATCCATATCTCACAGCCCTAGTCACAGTGTTTGTACCAATGCTACAAAGAATTAGTACTGCCCTTTTTCACAATCTGGTAAAGGTTCCATAAATCTCAGCTTAGAATTATTTGGTAAAAGTCTTACATTTTCCAAAATTCTTAAAAAAGATTTTTCGTCTAGAGCTGATCTGTTGATATTTATGGACTCTGTAGCTATACTGGACAATTTCCAATGAGAAAGGTCCTGTAGGGGAGTAAAATTTTGTTTTAGTATTTTGGACGGTTTTTGCTTCCCCTGACTTTATGTTTAACACCTCACTGATACTAAAATGCTTTAAATTGCCTACACTCAGTATTTTGTTGCCATTGAAACTTGATAGAACCTGAATAAGCTCTGGTTACTAATTTGGAAAAGTTCAGTTTTTTGTTTTGTGATTCAATTCCAGTTTGACGCATCACCAGTCATGGCCAATCAAGCTGCAAATATCTGTTTTTAACTTCAATTGGAAAATTGAAGGTATACCAACCTGAGGGTAAAATAGCAGGACTGGGTTACAAATATACATGATTTAGTAATTACAAGAATGTTGGTTATGAAAAAAAGCTGGAGTTCTGTTTCTGTACTCTATGTTACATGAATGGAAAAGCACAAGTGAAATGCATCCTGTAGCTTCTCTGCTGCCAACTGCTGCAGTTGCTGCCAAACTGTAATCAGGAAACCTCCATATCTGAAATCCAGCTGGTTCTGATTCCACTGAATGGGACATAAACCACAAAATGAATAAAGTCATTTATTTGTCATTTGTAAACTGGGATAAAAGTAACATTCCTTTTAAATAATCATTCCTCTCCATTAAAAAGGCCTCAATCAGGTTTTTTATTTTTATTTTATTCCTTTCAAGCCTAGAGGTATAGTGCAGAGCTAGTTTGGTGCTGCGTGTACCCAATGTTTACTTCCTGGCCCATGAGCCAATCATATGAAAGTTCCCAGGATAGAGCATTTAGTGTTTTATGTTGGCAAAAGAGCAGCACAGCCAGCAGAAGTGGACCCGAAATAATCTTAACAATACCCAAGAAGCCTGAGCATCCTTTAAAAATGTTTCCACAACAGTTTGGCTGAATGGTCTTTATTCATCATCTTGAAATTTGACTTTTTGTCTGTTGTACTGGTTTGAAACAGCAGGTGCCATTATTGCTTATTGCTCCCTTAAACAACAGCTAGATGTACAGTATATTGTATGTTACTCATCTTTTATTGCAAGCCAGTTTTTTCTAAAGTTAATATTGCCTCGTAAAAAGTTGTGCTTTAGCGTATTTTCGAGCTTGATTATCTGCTCCCAGTTTGGTCTTGCAATAAGCTGTTTCTGTTACCAGCAGATGTGCTACTGTACAGTTACTATTGCAGCTTGTGTCAAACATTTTAAAGTCACATCTATCTTTTGAAATAACAACAGGTAGCTTGCCTTCAGCAGCTGTTAGCTGTTTTTCTTAAAAAAAAAAAAAAGGTTGTGAAAAACTTTGCTTTTTCAGCCATTAACAACAGCTGAGTAGCAGCTTACAGCAACAAGTTTGGGAGGGGAGTGGAACTCTGGCCTAGATATCTCTGCTAAGGAGATTTTTTATTTCAGCTGTCACATTAAAGATGTTTAAAATGCAGGGGGGGAAAAAATAGAAATCGACCATTAGGGCTGATTCACGATTATTTCGGCATCAGTCTAATTGATCCCTGATATCCTAATTTTTCTTTTTTGGGGGGGGCTGAATCATTCGGCCAATATTGCTTTTGCTGGTTCCATTTCTGTGATATGTTAATTATAATAAAACTTTTGCAGCTATATTTAAAATAATAAATGCTGATTAATGCACTAATAAATTTGCGAACGCATGCATGTATTGGCTAATACTGATACAAGAAAAAAACCCACAAATTTCAGCCCGCTGATGCATCGGAATAGCTCTACCAAAAAAAAAAAAAAAAATCATTTCTATGTTTTTGAGACAATAAATTTTTAGATTAAGATTTAAATCAACACTTACCGCAGTGTCAGAGTATATTCCCCTTTAATTCTGCTGGAAGCATTTCGTACCAGAAATGTACCATCAGGGGTGTTTCTCATCATCTCATTTACTGCCTCTCTAGATAAAAAAGATAAAAAATATTAGTTTTTTCAAGATTTTAAAAGACTGAAAAAAAAAGATCTGCAAAACATGGCTGTAGTATAAAACTGTTAAGAGTCTACAAATTAAAACTTATTTTAAAGGTGAAGCAGGACCTTCCATTGTATTAAATGAATTAGATGCTGAGACACCAATGTGCTGTAATGCTCAGAGTGGGTTGATCTCTCAGCTTCTTGCATGTTTTTTGAATCCGTATATTCCATGATACAACTTTTTACATTGACTAAATAAGTTGGATTTTTTTTTTTATATAGTTGATGAATAACAATTCAATCAGCTGTTTCAGGCCTTGACCATGCTGACTGACTTTTCTTTCCTCTCACAGTACCCAAGGGAGATCCTCTGGGCTCCATCTTAGGACCCTTTATCTTCTTGTATGTTAAGAGTTTGGCTAATGGTTTACAAAGTAATGAATCATACTCCTCTGTGGAGATATAGCTCAACTTTGTTACCTACTGAAATTTTTCATATAAAACTCCATAAAAGATGCTTAAAATTAAATTACGTCTTTGTTTTGATGACTTCTTGTTCATTTAACAGGTTGAAACCCCTTAAAAGATTTTTATTTGTAGGTAATTTGTGTTTGATTTTAGACAACGCTTGTTCTACTCTGTTTGGCCAGGTTCTCATTGAAACATATTTTAATCTTAATCAGAAATAAAACTGGATATAAAGGATATAACCCCAACACACTAACAAAAAAAAATAATTTAATTTTAATTTAAAAATAAGCAGAAGACAGTCTTGAAACAAAATGTCTTTTACAATCTAACTTTTATTTTGTATTTTTTTAGGACTGCAGAGAAAGTAAATAGTGACTGAGGCTTGAAGGAAAGTTTTATATTCAAAACTGTAAGGAACATGTTATATAAATGTTTCCTACCTTGAAATGTTGCCCCAGTACCACTCTGCTTCAGCCAGCTGATGATCATCACTGCTGCTGTCAGAGGCTGCCATAGCTATGGTGATGTTGTTCTCTAATGGGATACCTAACCACAAGGAGAGCAAAAAAAAATAAATAACAGGGACATTTTTTTCTTGATTTTGTATTTTTTAATTAACAATTTCTTTTTTTTTTTAAACATGATTCTCACAATTCTGTTGAAACTGATCCATTATTGATTGATTCATGCTTCCTTCTGAAGAAATTTAGTAACTGATAAAGTCATTGACATGTATTTGTATCAGAGGGGTCGAAAGGTCATTTCTAAACCTTTGTGAGTCCAGTGACCCTTAGTTAGAGCTATTATCCACTATGTGGAGAATCAAAAACAGAAGTTATTTTCCATGGATTAGAGTCTCTAAAAAAGAAGCATTTGGCTTGGTTTAAATTGATCTCAGATAATAAAGTAAGAATCTTGGTGTTATTTTTTAACAGAACCTCTCATTTAAATCCCATTTCAAAGAGGCTTCTAGAATGTCATTTTATTTGTGGAATATTGCAAAAATAAGAAACATATCTATCGGTGATGCTGAGAAACAAGTCCATGCATTTGTTACTTCAAGGCTGGACTATTGTAATTCTTTACTATCAGGAAGTCCACAAACTGTAATTGAAATCCTTCAGCTGATCCAAAATGCTGCAGCCAGAGTTCTGATGAAAATAAAAAAGCGAGATCATATTTATCCTATCCTGGCTTCCCGTCATTGCTTCTTGTAAAATCCAGAAAATTATTTTAAATCCTCCTTCTCACATATAAAACCTTAAATGGCCAAGCTCCATCTTATATCAGGGATCAGATTTTCTTCATGTTCCTAACAAAGCACTTCACTCTCCATCTGCAGGTTTGAGTTGTGGTTCGTAGAATTTCCAAAGGTAGAATGCGAGGCAGATCTTTCAGTTATCAGGCTCCTCTCTTTGGGAACCAAATACCAGTTTTAGTCCGTGAGGCAGACACCCTGTCTACCGTTAAGGCTAAGCTTAAAACTTCAGCATGGTCGTTTATCCTTTTTGATAAAGCTTATAGTTAAAAAAGAGTGATGTTTGCTTAGTCGCTGAGTAAGTAGAGAGGTAGGGGGAGCGTTAACAGTCCGATCTAGTGGGGAGAACTTCAATCCGGACAGATGTTTCTCCTCGGCTCTACCTTGGCTCCACTGTGGCTCTACCTTTCTTTAACCTCATCCAAAATACTTAGGCTTTCCTAAGCTATTTTCTGCACTTGTGCTGCTATATGTTTGGGCTGCTGGATAACATAGGGACAACTTTTCCTCATTTTGCTTCATTCTATATACTTCAATTATCCTGTATTTGTCCAAGTTGCACTCTGTATAAGTTCCACTCATGACTTAATGTTCTCTCTGCCTTTTCTCATCATAATAGCTTCATCTGGTCTGTTCCTATTTGGCTGTGACTGCATCCTGGAGAGAAATATCAGCTGCCATCGACATTTCTGTTTATAGATTTTGGAGCTTGGTCTGTTTCCAGTGTGGTCCTCTTTTGTTTTTTTTGTTTTTTTTTTACTGTGACTAGTAGCAGAATTGGATTGGAGCTCATCTCTCTGGGTGTTGTCTCCTGGACGGAGCTGGTTGATAGTTGCCTTTTGTATCTCTGCTTTTTTCTGTATCTGTGCTTCTGTCTCGGCTTTGGCAGATGGCCGCTCACACTGAGCCTGGTTCTGCTGGAGGTTTCTTTCTGTTAAAAGGGAGTTTTTTTTCCTTTCGTTTTGAGTTTTGCCTGATACCAATATTTATCTAGCATGGTCTTAGCACAATTGCTCTGTTAAACAACAGCAAATCTATACTTTTATTACGTGTTTTTTTTTTGTGTGTGTGGCATAATAGAAAATGATTATTCAAATTATATTACCCAGAGAACAATAGTCAAAAACAAAGTATTGTTATATTGGTATATTATACAACTGACACATTTATCATCAACCAATGGGTTTCATAAACTTCATATAGAGTGGAGTGCTTCTATCTATATATGGGAGATTTTAGATGCAGGCCAAAATATTCCTATAATTGTTTTTTGGCTAATATCAGGCAAACCCTGCCTCTCAGTCAGGGTTTTGGACTGTTGGGTTCAGGGGCTGTTGCATGTGCCAAAGCAGCTCTTCCAATGCTCAAACAAACTCTCCAATGTGGCTGAACTGAATGATTCTGCCTGAATTTAATAATTCAGCCAAAAATGAAAAATAAAAATCTCACCATTGATGTGAAAGACTCATTGACAGTTATCACAAACACTTAACTGGAGTTTACTGCTGCCAAGGAGGCAATTATTTCCTTCTCCCTCAGGATCATAGAGAGTAATCCCTCCTTAATAAATTAAGTCAGCTATGAAGTTTTTCAAATTCCATTTTGTAATTACTCAGGTTGTTTTTGATGTTTTAGTTGATTTATCCATAACATTTTACATACAAGTATAAAACAAAAGAAATGGAAGAAAAACAACTTTGTGCTTTAGTTATGAACAATTGTATTGGTTACTTTCAACTTATATAAAAAGTACTTAATTGTAGTACATGAATTAACCAGTTGGTTGTATTGAACACCAGTCAAATACAAATCCACTTAACGTGCATTTTCAGTTACGGCTGATAGAGTTAATGCATCAGTATGACAAAGGAAAACAAAGTGATGTATTACACAGACAAATCAATATTTTTAAACTGGAATTAAGCTGATTATTAACTGATTATTGACTGGAATAAGTAACTAACAATTGTAGAACAAATACATGATGTAGGGTACCTTCTTCTTCTCCAGTGTTGGTTTTCAGGTCAGGATTTACATGATCTTGAGCAACGTGGGGGGAGAATTCCTCTGAAACCCTTCCTCTTATGCAAGTTTTCCCCTTGTCGTCGTTTAGGCCCTCTTCTGTTTCCAGGAACTCTGAAATATCAACTACACAGCAACCTAGGTTTAACCGCAATGCCAGAACTAGACACTCAGTATGTGACCACCTGCACTCTATGGCTGTCTGCACACACTGCGGGTCACCCAACTAGACTCCAGGAGATATTGCGGCACTCTGTCTTACAGCTTGCAGGAGACTCTGTCCAGACTAGTGTGCTGACAGGTGACACTGTCTGACTGCCTAAAATACCAGAACTGGCACTCCTCAGCACTTGGGCACACTCAGCCAGACCCAGTTCTGCTTAACCCTCCACCTCGCCTTGCCTCGCCTAACAAACAACAGCTGTCTGCATTGAGATGCCATGTCAGTCTGGCAAACTTATGATGATGAGCTGCTATCCTGTATGTTGCACATGTGGGTGGAACATTATAAATCCAGTTGTAATGTGAGAAGTTGTCAGCTATGGATTTCTTGAAAGAATGATACTTAATGTGGATTGTTTTCATAAATACATGCGCTTATGTGCTGATATATGTGTGCAGTGAGAGGTGCTGTTAACAGTTGATGTAAGTTATCCTTTCAGCACTTGCGATGGCATGCTTTGAGATGTTTTAAATCGCTGCTGCAGGCGGAGCCTTATGCAAGAGGAATCATACGTATGCTGTTGTAATATAAGAAAGGCACAAACTAACAAGCCCATGCCCTCAAACTGTGCAGCTCTGTCAAAACTTGTCTGGTATTAAAAGCTGAATAGCATCTGTATGTAATAAAACACCGGCTCTATGCTGTCTTGCAAAAAACTATTAATGCCCCTTGAAAGTTGTCACGTTAACCCCTCAAATAGGCTTGTTTGTTTTGTTTTTTTTCTAGTTGTACAAAAAATGAAACTCATGGGAAAAAAAGAAGGGTATGACTGAAAAATGTGACATGCATTTCAGATCCCTCTCCTTATAAATAGTTGTTGGAACTAAGGCTGTGCATAATGGCTGGAAATGTTTCATATTACAAGCCGTTCATTTTGGCAACATGAATAATAATCATTTTTTTCTATGATCTATTTGAAATAACAACCAGGGGGGAAAAGGAAGAATTTAGGTTGTTATCTCAACCTTATTTAAATGTAACCTTTAACCTTTGAAATAGCTCAGCTCTACTAAAAACCTTGCTTAGTTTTAGAGGTTGACCTTTCCTCCGACTACATCCCCCAGAATGCTGTGCGGTAGAGGCCTACTGCGTTGCAGCTCAGTGAAATTATAGAACATTCGATTGCGTTTCCCAGCATGAGTCGTTTTTGTTTAATGAATCCTTCAATGTTTTGTACACACAGAAACCGCTTTTAAATTGTTTTTTAATTTTATATAGTCAACATCTCTTCTTTTAAGACACAGTTAGTTGATTTAACTGAAACTGAAATTAATGTTTAAACATTTAAAAATCATAGAAAATTTACTTAAATTAACTTTATTTTTTAGCTTTTATTAATATTGTTTGATTGTTTATAAAGGGCTTTCCTGAATATTAGACCCAACATATTAAAAAGTCAAACAAACCAATGCATCAGATATTCAAGAAACTCTCAACTCAGCAAAGTTATAGTAATGCTGGATGAACTGCATCATCATACATAACAGCAAGATACATTTTTTAAACTCTTTTTTTCTTAAAAAATATAATAATCTAGTCAAACAGCTGTGAATTATTCCATAATACTCTATTAAGGAATGCCTAAAATGTGCTTTCTGGGCAATTTTTGGTGATCATAGACAAGAGTAGACATTTTTTGTTTTGTTTTAACATCTAGATATGAAGATCTGACAGCACTTATCTCTGTGTGGTAATTCGGGGCATATCCTTAGGCTCTCATCAGGCTTATTGAACAAAGAAAAGCAACATTAAGGTTTGAACTTTAACGTCATTTTGCAAACCTGATCATTTGGGTGTTATTTATTGTTTGGCCTATAAAAACTCAATTTTTAACAGATCAGCCACTGAGGATATTAAATTCTGCCATCTGCTGATTATTGATTTGGAAATTTAATGGCAAGAAATAATATCCGGCTTTATATTCACAGGTTTTGAGTAGCACACCAGGCATCATTTAGATGCAGGTTTTAAGGCTGAATCTGGTCGATCTGTCAGTCTTGATTTAGTCCAGAAATAGGTGTTGAAAATTGGACTGTGTTTGGTTGCTTTAGTCCAATAATTGACCCATTCAACAATCAGCATCTTATTTTTCACCTTTCACTTTTCAACCAAATGTAGACGTTGTTTGGACGTAAATCATGTCTTTTCAACCAATATTTGCTCTGGAACATCTCTAGTGATTCTTACAAACTCTTGAACTGGTACTTTTAATCTTACCTTGATCTGCTTGTGGAGCTATCTCTGCATGCTGCTGTGATTGGCTGAGAGGTGATGAGGTAATCGCAGGCAGGGCAGGGTCGGGCTCTGGATTTTCATCCATGTTGGTAGGGTTCCTGATCCCAAAGCCGTCCCTGAGATGGAGGGATGCTAGCGATGACGCTGCCTGGAGCTCTTCGTCTGTCCCGAGCTGGAAATGCTCTGCTGCCATTTTCACAAGGTTGACTGAATTGTCCAGCTTGGTTTTACTGAGGTTGAAGTGGAATTTTCTGCCACTGCGCTGCTGACCACATACGATCAGCTTAGAGTCAACTTCATGGCTGAAGGAGATGGTGGACATGCAGCGATCATGGCTGCTCAGTGTTGCCAGCATAGAACACATGCCCTTTGCTGAGCCATGGTTTCAAATACATCTTAGAGAAGGGCGATGGCATTGCCAATAGATCCGGTGTGGGCTTGTCTTTAAATAGAGCTTTTCTGCTCAAGAACAGTTCTACTGTAGCTTACTTAAAGGGAGTCATATCAGAGCTAACAGTTAAACAAAATGGTTGATTCCCGTATGTCTTTATGCTTGCAGATGAGCTGGAGGATGCAGATATATAAACTCCTGATGTCTTCATCAATGACTCAAACGTTTCCCATGATGCCTAATTCAAAGAACAACCACAAAAAAAAAAAAAGGAAAAAAGCATCTGGTTAAAGGAATAAAAAGTCCAGACTGCAGCGCCGTCATTTCATGACATGATGCTCAGAATTTTCATTATTTATTCTCTAACAGCTGTTATTCTGATGCATCATTTTTTCCCATTTAATTTATATCTTTGATTTGATAGTTTATCTGTAAAACATATAAGAATTAAAATATTTTCCCAAATATAAATCAGAATGGTTTATTTATATAGCAGCAAAATATATAGCCTAACACTTTTTGCCTAAAGACACTTCGGATCAATCCAATCACACAGACAGATTGGCTGAAAAAATTTGAGAATCTAATGATAGAAATAACTCTTTCTTGTAAAATATATATATTTTTTGTGTTAGTTGAAGAAAAAGATAATATAACACTGCATTGTTTTTGTCTCGGGCAGTCATTAACGATTTTTGCAGTAGCCGGGTTCCATATCAACAAATGTGTTTAACAATACAGCTTTTACTGATAAAAAATAGATGTATACAAACAAAGAAATATATTTTATTTAGTAAAAAAATAGTATTTTAAAACAATTTTCTCTAGGATTGGTTGCTTTTAATGTTTTTTTTTCCAATTTACTGAATTGTATTATAGTTTAAAAAAAAAATGAACCAAAGACTTGGTTAATAATAATAATAATAATAATAATAATAAACAATAATAATAATATTTATATTAATTAATATATATATATATATCAAACAAATTAATTATACTATTCAAGGAGTGTTAACGTTAAGGTGTCTTCTCTTCTCTTCGCCTGCTTAGTTAGAAATAAAGGCAATAAACTCAAAGGCAGTCATTTATCTTATTTTATTTTGTTAAAAACAAACATTTTACTGTATCCGCAGTCTTTATTTCAGAAAGCATTAAAAAAAATACATATATTATAAACTGTTTCCCAATTGGGATTTATTGGATTTCTATGGAATTTGCACCCTGTCAAGTATTAGTGAGGATCTTATCTGTAGACTCAAACATCATGTATGTACAGAATTAAAGAGGGAAGCCCTTTACGTGATAAAGAATGGGGGGGGGGGGCTGCAGCTAAATTCTGCTTCTATCCCATCGCAGTGGATTAGTCAGCGCTTTATTCAGCTGTATTCTCCACAGTGTAACCTCTTATGGAGGGGATTTGTTTGCAGATATCTTTTAGTTGCCCTACAAGGAATTAAAATAGATAAATGACTATATTCTTATGTTTGAAGCAAATGTTTAAAGAGTTAGTCCACATGACTGATCACATTCTATCCTAAAGGATAATAATTGCACGAAAGGGGAAAAGGTTAAATGCAACTTAAAGATAATTTATTAATTTTACCAGTATTTATCTTTACCTAAACAATTAAACATATTCTGCTTCCAGAAAAAAGATCTAATCCTTTTGAGCATCATGCCCAGATTTGAGATAAACTGCAACAGGCTCTGATTTTACTGTCTATTACTGAATACTAATCATTTTTCCAATGTAGTTCTTTCAGTGCTGTGTTTGGATGACTGTAGAGAATGCTCTTTTTCAACCAAAGAAGCAGATGCAAGTTTCATCAACTGAAGCTATCCTCCCTGATCCAAAGCTGGGGAGTGGAAAATGGCGTCTTGTTCAAATAGTTCGTATGGTATGCAGCCATTAAGTCGCCATAGATTTACGCTCTTGGTTGACCGTGTTGAGTGCGTATTGAGACGATTTTTGGTTTCTGGATCTGGTTTTATCCAAAATAAAGATGTTTGTTCTAAAAATAAAACAGTTGTTTAAATTTCTGTACTATTTAGTTCAAAATAAGTAAATATTCATATAAGAGAGTTCAACTTAGTTGCTTTTAAATTATAGTTAATTTTTGTATTTTTAAATAATATTCCAAACTGCTGTGAATTAATTTCCTTATTATATCTTTGTTTTCAGAATTGCTTTTATAAGAGCAAAATTGGGCAAATATGCTGACGTTCAAAGAAGGTTTTAAATGTATCAAAGCAATGGCGAGGAAATGTTCAGTTGATTTTTTTCCTTTTCTCTTTGAGGATATCCAACGGAGAGAATTTAGACCGCTTGACTGAAGTCCGATTATACGCCGTCATTTTGAAAATGTCAGTAATTCGGTTATATCTCTACATTTTCTGTTGTTGTTGGTGTTTATCTGGAAAAGTTGTTTTTTCTTTTAAATCTTGTTGACCGTGTCACATCCAGAACCGATAACGGGACACCTGATGTACGCCATATTTTCCCAACGCCTTCAAGCTCCCCCTCCATCATCCTGTAACTAAGCTCTGAATGACGAAGAGCTGTGAATGCAGAATATGCAGAGAACTTTCAAAATGGCAACTTTTGGTTTGGGAATCATCTGACCAACCTGGTAAAAAAGAGAAATGAAACCTCATCAAGAAGCTCTCCCAAACAGGACAGCATGCACCTACCTGGGCCAAGACAGAGGAGAACGGGACAGCGTGGGAAACCAGTGTCTCATCAACATCCATGAAACGGCGAAGAGACGTTGCCGGACGCACACGTGGCTCCGATCAAACCAACCACCGGCCTATGTCCTCACGCCATCCTGTGTCCCTCCGCCCCTCACCACCTCCCGCTCCTCCTATCCCGTGAAGCTTCTCCTCTAGAGCTCTCCATCTTCTTCAGATCCTCTCCACTTGGGTGTTATCTGTCCTTTTGAAGTGGCATATTTTCCCACGCTGTCATTCCTCCAGGTTTACCGTCTCTTCCACACGGCTGCATGTCATGTCTTCTTAAAAAAAAAAATCAACGCCGTTCAGTAATTGACTGCACTTCCACTTTTAAATGCAGTATGCAAGAAAAACTCCAGTGATGTTTAAAGACCATTCTAAAGAGAAATACAACAAATGTCTAAAATTTAGATCTAATAACAAAAGAAGGTAAAAGAATAGAGAAAACTGCATTAATGTAGCTCTGAAGCAGCACTGCTCCTCACTCTGCAACTCTTTTTCATGGTTTAAGAGCACTGTGTGAATGCACTGTAGGGGGACAGAGGCATGAGAATGAGACAGCAAGGGGGAAAAAAACTCCTATATAAATAAATAAGGAAAGGATGCCACTGTTGCTATACAGAGGAAGGGGCTTAGTAGTTTCCTGAAATCCAATTGGTCGGCCTGTTGCCATGTGCTCAGCAGCCAGCAGAGATGCTGCTAACAAATCAAGGAAATGTTCTAATATTAGACTGTATGTTTCCAGGCAGCAGGAGCCCCTGACCTCTCAACTCCGACTGCGTTACGTTCCACTTCACAGATCAGCATAATGACACAAGTGGTGTGGAAGTAACTGGTTAAAAAAATGCTCCGGCACTGTAGACAAAACCAGACACCCACCAACCCCCAAAACCCCATCTTTCTCCGTGGCTGCCCAGGTTGAATAATCACAGGAACAAATTAGGGTTGCAGGAGAAGAAACTATGTTTGGACTTTTTCAGAGTTGTTTTAGCGAAAAAAAAAGAAATAAAATTGTATAATGTTATAAAGTAAGTCAAATAACTGAAATTTAAACTCTTTCACTACCTCTCCATCTTAATGAAATGCTTACATAACCATCTCTCCTGTTTAGGTTATTTGAATGTAAAAAATATCCAATCCAATCCAATCTACTTTATTTATATAGCACAATTTCAATAAACACAAGGTTTCCAAAGTGCTGCACAAAAAGATAAAATAAAGAAAATAAAGAAAAATTTAAAAAAAGTAAATAAAATAAAAGCAATGCCCACACAGGATAAAAATATGCATGTATGTACATAAAATCAACGCTCTACATAGTGTCAAAAGCCAAAGAAAAAAGGGGTTTTAAGAAATAAAAAATTATAAAACAGTGCAACATGATTTTGGCTATAGAAACAATTTCAGTTAATTTACTTTGTAAAAAATATATGTCAGTGAATAATACCGGTAAATAATTAATCACGCCTTTCCTCAGTTACTTTAACAGATCAGATTTAAGAAAATGGCCATCTCGTTCCTTGTCTGATGTTTTTTTTTTTTTCTTTCTTTTCTTTTTTTTAAACATGTTTTTTTATATCTTAACAGCTTAGGCAGAAATCCCCACACCCCCCCCTCCTCAGCTATATATTCTTATTTGGGAGAGGACTCTAAGATATTCCCAAACTGGCCCTAAAACCTAATTGCTGGCCTGCATTAAGATCTTGGTTTGTCCAGAGATGACATTTCAATGAGAAGAATGCATCCTTATTAGATATTACCATGCAAAGTTTCACCTGAGAAAAATGCCACCAATGCACATAGCTGAATCCTGCTATTTGATTCTTAGTGGGTCTGTATAACATGTGAACCAGGACTCAAAAGTACATACCCCTGAAGTACCATCAGTGGATGGTGTTTAGTCTTTTCCTAGTCTAACCTTGAAAACAGGTTAGATGAACTCCATCCACTTTCTATAAAAACTCAATTGTTCATAATTTTTCTGATGTTTGACTATTGGATGAAAGTCAATTCATCAGTATATCAGATCTTCCCTGGACAGGTCAATTCTTTTCCCTTAGATTCTATCATATGCATGCTATGAATATGTGACACCAATCTGAAATTTCTGATTTTTGCACACAAACTTGGCCAATATAGCTGATTCTAATTTAGTTTATCAGTTGGGATCTCCCTAACCTTGATATACTTCAAAATGTTGTCCTAGATCTCGATCATTCAAGACACCCCTATGCAAAGTCTGGGCAACATTAGGGGCTTCGGGATCATAGGGTAAACATTTTTCTAAGAACTTTTCTGTCAAAGGGCTTTTTGCTACCTTAGCAGAAATGGGTGGTTAGTCGTAGCATTTTGTCATTACATTTATTTAAGTAAATCTTTAAACGAAATGTGCTTTTTTTTTTTTTTTGTAGTTTCACTGCAATGAACTTTACTTTTACTAGAGTAATGATAAGGAAGTAGTAGTTTATAAAATTCCATTCAATAATAATTTATTAATCCCAAAGGGAAATTCCGTTCCCAATAGTAATGATAGTCTTACTCCAGTCAAATTTCTGGCTATGTGTGATTACCTTCATTGACAAAACCTTTTTTTTTTGGCCAAAAATGCACCAGAGAGATACGAACATAAAGTATGTTAAACTGTTAGGGTGCAAGCTTTATTGTTTTAAAGCTGTTTTTTTAAGCAGTTTTTTCAAAGATGTTTTTTTCTTTGGTGTTTTTTTTTTTCGATCTGCCGAGCTGATATCCAGGTCCAGTGACCATACAGTAAAGAGTTGATGTACTAAACAGTTGATCTTCTCATCGGATGCACTCTTCAAGCTTGCCCTACATTACCAAGAGGTTTGGTTCACCCCCCTATATTAACAGAGCCATTCATTTCAATGTTTTCAGGGGGATACATTTTGATGGAAAATTGACTGTCCTGAATAGAATCCTGACCTCATCCTTAGCCTTCAGGTGCTCTATAAGGCTGTTCTATTTGGCAGCTGGACATACCTAGTGTCTTTACTCCGAGCCTCTCCCAAATGGCTGAGCTCCTCATCTACTCTTTAAGGGTGTGCCCAGCCACCCTGCAGGGGGAGCTAATTCCAGTCCCTTGTATCCAGGACGTCGTTTTGGTCATAACCCAGATTGTGACCGACCATCCTTTGCCTTTGGGCTCAGCTTTCTCCTCACCATAAAATACCAGCTCAGCATCTGCACTGCACAGCAGTGGCCATATCGTCTGTTGATCTCCTGCTCCATCCTCCAATCACTCATGAACCGGATCCCACCATACTTTAACTCAAACATAAAGGAAGGAACTGAAGTAAATATCTAAATTCTCAAAGCTTTCCGTATGTCTCACAAACCCATAGGGGGTCCATAAAAAAAGAAAAAGAACCATTGCATTTTATTTTTCAAAAGATCAGCCACCCAAGAAAAGGCCTTCCACATACAGAGAGGATGTGCAGAACAACTCAGTTATTCAGCACTGATAGAGGAGGGACCACAGGCATGTTCTCAATTTATTATTAATTATCATATTAATATATCCTTATTTTGGTCTATTGTATATGTTTAAAAACTTTCCATTACATTTTTAAGAAATTAAACATCCACAGAAATTCTGTCTTCTTTCATGGTAAGGTTTTATAGAATCTGCCTTGTTTAGCTCTTTTGTCGTTTGTAAAAAAAAAAAAAAATAAAAAAAAAACTAATGAGATAATGAGTTTAGTCCTTAGTCTATTACCAAATATTCACAGACAGGATTTGATTGCACTGGTTCCTGTATTAGTGCCAGTAATACAGGTATTAGGTTATGGTATTAGTATTAGTTCCCCACTGTTTATTTTACTTGAACTGCATAGAATAATTAATAAACACAGTTGCAAAACTCTTGTTTACAGTATATTTAAGATGCAAGTATTTTAGCAGGGCCCATTTTTCTTTACCTCAATTCTCTGAAAATCACCAGAATATAGAAAATAATGTATATTGTGTGAAACATTTTCCACATAACTACAGATCACTTTATGAGTTATAGTGACATTTACTGCTCTATAGAAATTCCATATTTATCCACATTCCCTTAGCAAAAAGAAGCATACTTGAAGTAAATTCTATTAAGAATACTTAAGTATAAGTTTAGAAAGTATACCGAAAAATGTACAATGTACTTTTAGTGTACTTGAAAGTACTCAAGTACACTTGACTATACTATTGTTAAGTATATGAAATATAGTTTAGAATAAGTAAACTCTAAGTGCACGGCCTGATTTTAAGTATGAAATTAGTGCACTTTTAGTGTACTTGAATAAGCTACTTTTTGCTAAGGGTTAGTTACAGTTAAATCCTCTGAAAAGCTACAACCTATAGCTGCACGTATCCTGATTGCTTTTCAATCTAACCCTGACAAGGTTTGCCTGTCCAAACTATTTTAATATCTCACTCCAAGGTTTGGTAAAAAGTTTGCAGCAATGCTGTTGGATATATTCACATTTACTCAAGTACTAGATTGCTTAAAATCTTCATTTATTTAAAAAGTGAATTATCATCCTGCAGATAAGGATAAGATAAAAATTCAAATAACAGACCTCATAACTTCTTCTTCTTCTTATGAGATTTTATGGCGGTTGGCAAACTTGTGAAATGTGCATTACCGCCACCAACTGATATGGAGTAAAGCAAGGAAACAGGAAACGATTCACCCCCCCCAAAAAAAAAAAAAAAAAAAAAAAAAAAAATACAATAAAATAACCTGTGTAACTTAAACCCACATAATACTAAATTATACTAAATTACATTTGCCCGTATAATTTTAATTTACTCTAGGTCATCGTACCTCTGCCAGTTTCTGATGGTCCCATTGGTCTTTCCATCATGCTTCCAACCATCTCCCAGTTTATATCTTTAACATCCAGATATTTTTCTGCAGCCTTCACTATTATTTTGATTTTTTCTGTTTTTTTTGTCGTCTGAGCAGTACAATTAATCACTTCCACCATGAAAAGAACAAAATTTGTCTTTTTAACAATTAGTGAGTCTTCATCAATTTTTGGAGATTTCTCTAGAGGTTTGAAATTTGCCGTGTGTTGAACTGTAGGTTTGGGTTTTTCTGACTGAGATGGGATCCTTTTTGCAGCTTCAGCATAAGTTATTCCAAGCTCAAATTTCATTTTTTTTATTTCTTCAGACCTTTTGCTTGCTTCACAGCCGCGATAAGCAGCAGTATGTTCTCCACCACAATTACAGCATTTTATTTTAGCTTCTTTTCCACATTTACCATATTCATGTTCTCCTGCACACCTTCCACACCTCTGTTTCCCTTTACAAACTGCTGCAATGTGTCCGAATTTTTGACATTTGAAACATCTCAATGGTGGTGGATTGTAGATTTTGACATTGTAACTGATGTAACCGATGAATACTTTGCTTGGTAATTGCTCTTCCTCGAATTTAATTAGTACAGATAAACTGTCAGATCTTTCTCCGTTTCTTGTTGTTTTTAACCGTTTTACTTCTTTTACTTTTGCACCGCTTATGTTTTCCAGAATCTCTTTTTCAGAAATTT